CTTTTCAACAATTTTTAATGAGAAGCCCCTACTGACTTGTAGGATAACGGGTTCACACTCCAGCAAGCTGTGCGCCCCAGGTGACTGGAGGAGTAGGGGTTGTGAAATGCATCAAATTTAGGGGCCAGAATACATAGAGATGACGAGGAGAAACAAGAACCCAACCATAGCTGGAGAGATCAGAGCAGGGAAGTAACAGTGATGAGAGAGGGGGCTGGAGGTCCTCCCCGCATCTCAGGAATGGGGGGTGGGGCTGCGAGGAGAATTAGCTACAGAAGATGAGGACACAGGACCCCAGCAGGAGCTAATTGATAGGCAGCAAACTAAATAGTCCGTCTGTGGCGGCGTGTCGAATCACAGTGACTGCGCAGGTATGTAGATTTCTCTGCTTCCGAGCGGCGCTTTATCATGGGTCAGCGGAGGGCGCACTACGCTGCAGCGGGAAGTATTTCATTTTATAAATGAGGGAAATTATTAACCCTCGCTGACAGCTGCGGGGAACGCTTACATCAAGCGTCGCTCTGCTCTCAGATACACTGTAATTGTGGTGGAGCAGAGAATTAGCCCATGTGAAGATGAAGGAGACCTCATATCAAATGTAACATAGATTGTTGTATTAACTGACACATAGCAGTGAGTGAAGAAGATGAATTATCCCCCCGGAGGAGCATCACCGCCTACAAGTACATCTCCAGTCTATCTGCCTTTGTCAGCATCTGCTGCTGGGACAGTCACAGGCGGGCGGGTAGATCTCTATTACCAGATTTGCTTGACATCAAAGCAGTTGTCACGTGACTCTATCCTTCAACAACTGCACCCAAGTTACCGATCTTCTGCATTTGGAGCATGAGCAAAGGGTCAAAGGGAAAGAAGATCTGCAACTACCAGCTCTAAGGGCTCATTCACACCAGTCCCTGCATTGAAACGCAGCGGCCGGTGTGCGGTGCAGTGGGACCGAGATTAGCGCAGTGATGATGCACTGAACTCAGCACATCACACAGTTTCCTTTTATTTTTAGAATTTTTTTTTTTTAAGAAACTATTGAGATATCACACAGACATCTCATAAAGTTAAATTGCCAGCCACATGGCAATGGAGTTCCTCGCGCTGCTCTAAAAAAAAGTACTGGATGCAGACCACTGAAACACAGTGCCATGAATCAGACACATAGGAGACAATCCTTGTCCATGCAGAGGTACAAAAGGAGAAAAAAAAGCACCTCTAAGTGCAGTATGTAAAACATTTATTGAGAGCAATGTAAAAAACACTCACATGGTGGAGGGATAAAAGAAAGCATTGGTATATAGAGTAGAAGACACGGCCGAGTCCTCGCTGTAATAGCCGTGGTCCGCGGTGAGGGAAGACTGTGGATGTACACAAGAAGCCGTCCGGCATGTGTAAGTCTTGGAAGATGGCGTTTGGAGTGTACCCTGGAGCGAAACGTCGGCGTCAGCGTGATGACGTAGGGGAGACCAGCATGCAAAGCGACGCGTTTCGGAGCATGCGCTAGGCCACTAGAAGACAAAAGCGCGTTCCCTTCTCAAGCATAAGCTGACTCTCTTCTCTCTTTTTTTCTCCTTTTGTATCTTCACCCAGAGCCTGACTGCTACAGTCACAAGAGCTTGCCCTAGTGCTATATGGACTCATTTGCATTGTATCATATGATATTGGACTTTATTATGAACTTTTCCTGTGTCCCCTGGCATTAGGATTTGGGGAATCTGTATGCGCTGATTTTTTGTTTTCTTTTTTTGTCCATGCAGAGGGACTGCGCTGGAAAAGCCACCCAATCCAATCCTCTGCATGTGAACCTAGCCTAAAGCTTTTCTAGAACTTACGCAGCGTGTTCCCTCAAATAAGATGTTACAAAGATTTGCTGGGTTCCATGAACAGTATAGACGTTAGAACACCAACCTTACATTGGGCACTAATTTTTTGGGCAAAGTCATGTAACATGTTTATTTGTAGGGATTGAAAATGGTTTTATCTCTGAGCTATGGGATATGACTTCAATGTTCCTATAGACCAGACTTTCCAAACCATTTTTAATACAGAGGGACCCTTCATTTTAATGTCATGGGGAACCCCTGCTAATTTTTTTCATCTCTAGTTAGTGCATTGTTTCTCAACTCCAGTCCTCATGGACCCCCAACAGGTCATGTTTTCAGGATTTCCCTCAGATGAAAAAGCTGTGGTAATTACTAAGGCAGTGAAACTGATCAAATCACCTGTGCAAAATAATGGAAATCCTGAAAACATGACCTGTTGGGGGTCCATGAGGACTGGAGTTGAGAAACACTGAGTTAGTGGCATATTTGTGTGGTCAATAAGATGTAAGTATAATAATACATAAAAGAATAAAGAGTGTAGTGTAGCATATCTGACACCTAGAGTATTTTTTTAACACTCCTCTGCTCTATAAGAAAAAATTATAGCAATAACAATCATAAATTGAAACAAATAATAACAATGGTCAGAAAAGATACACTAACAGTAAAAATTGTAGTGTCCTTTAAATTGGTGGTCAGTGAAAACGTGCCTTAATATGTTGATAGTTGGTGTAGTGATCCTATGCATTGGTGGCCAATGGGAGAAGGACCCCTTATATTAATGGTCAATGGGAGAAGAAAATTCCTACATTGTTGACCAGTGGAAAAACAGCCCCCCATACACACTGATATCAGTGGTTACTGGGAGTTTAAAATTCTTCACTACTTAAGAGACCCCTAGCAACCTCAGGAGAAACCCCAATATTCCAAAGAACCCTGGTTGAGAAACCCTGCTATAGACAGATTGGAATGTTGTGCCCAGCATTGTAAACAAGTGGTTAAACAAGCGTTCTCTATTGCTGCCTCATGGGCTCCAGTCAACACATATTGAACAATGGATGGGACAATTGTGTAAAGGGAGGATTCACAGAGGCTTTGATTGCTCATTTCTGAGTGGTTAGATCCCTCTTTCATGGGTAAATTGTGATGAGATACCTAAGGGGATTAGTAGCAGATTCTTTGAAGTTGGCCATAGATGCATTAAGTCTTGGAGTTTCATAGTGCCCAAGTCTGCAACACCTCGATTAACAAAAGTCAATTTTTGAATCAATTTTTGTCGAAGGAGATGGGTGGAAAATTGTTGGCCAAAAAAGTGCCTGCAGCCAATCAGATGGGAGATTTGTGCACCAGCGCTGTTAGTGTGAATGGAGGAATCTGTTAGATTTCTTAAATTTGGCCCACAGACAAATAATGAAGTAAATGTGTGTATTGCCAGCTTAAGGGGACAGTCTAGAGCAGGGGAAACTGTCCAAACAAAGGGCTAGTTTACCGTCCTTCAGGCTTTAGGGGAGCTGAACTGTGGCCATTGTGAGAGAAAACAATGCCCCACCATTGGTTTTAGTGGGAGGAATAGTGCCCCAATTGTGGTATCAGTGGGGGGGGGATAGTGTCCCATCATTGGTTTTAATGGGAGGAATAAAGCCCCAATGTTGGCATCAGTGGGGGGGAATAGTGCCCCATCATTGGTTTTAGTGGGAGGAATAGTGCCCCAATGTTGATATCTGTGGGGGAAATATTGCCCCATCATTGTTTTTTAGTGGGAGGACTAGTGCCCCAATGTTTGTATCCGTGGGGGGATTAGTGCCCCATCATTGGTTTTTAGTGGGAGGAATAGTGCCCCATCATTGGTTTTAGTGGAAGGAATAGTGCCCCATCATTGGTTTTAGTAGGAGGAATAGTGCCCCATCATTGTTATTATGGGAGGAATAGTGCCCCATCGTGGTTTTAGTGGGAGGAATAGTGCCCCATCATTGGTTTTAGTGGGAGGAATAGTGCCCCATCATTGGTTTTAGTGGGAGGAATAGTGCCCCATCATTGGTTTTAGTGGGAGGAATAGTGCCCCATCATTGGTTTTAGTGGGAGGAATAGGGCCCCATCATTGGTTTTAGTGGGAGGAATAGTGCCCCATCATTGGTTTTAGTGGGAGGAATAGTGCCCCATCATTGTTTTAGTGGGAGGAATAGTGCCCCATCATTTATTTTTAGTGGAAGGAATAGTGCCCCATCATTGGTTTTAGTGGGAGGAATAGTGCCCCATCATTGGTTTTAGTGGGAGGAATAGTGCCCCAATGTTGGTATCAGTGGGGGGAATAGTGCTCCATCGTTGGTGTTAGTGGGTGAAATGGCTCTCTCATTGTGTCAGTGAAAGGAATAGTGCCTCAAGGACCGTATAAAGGCAGGCAAAGGACCACATCTGGACCCCAAGCCGCAGTTTGGAGACCACTGATCTAGAGTGAAAGGAGCACAATGCAAATGCATGATTGGGATGATAAGTGTGTGCATGTTATGAATGGCAACCACTGTACCTGTCTAATTCTTCTCCGTTATATTCATTCTTGTTTTAAGAATTCATATCTGCCCCTTATATATGTTTTTGTGGTTTTGCTTCTGTTCTAAACATACATTTTAATATTGATGCAGAATTATGCTGGGGCTCAGTTATAAAAGTGGGATAAAATGAGAAGACTTGAAGCAAGCAGCAAAGTGCAGTCACTCACACAAAAGCAATGCACTTGTACTTATCTGATTTCATTAAACTGAAATCTGGTGGCTGTGGTCTCCTGCAATTTGCCATCATTTTTTTTTTTTATACTGCCTTGCCAAATAAACCAGTAAGTATGCATGATACCCATATTACCCAATCAAGTGTTTACTTCCATCCAAAACTGACTTCTCCGTTTAGGATGAATTCTGCTTTTTATAACATTTTTATATTGCCAATAGACAATACAATAATATAGTAAATGATCCCAGAATTACGGTTTGCTGATTGTAGGATCAACAGTTTATTAATTGTGGGAATTCCATATAGAAACACCCATTGATTACTCATTTCCCCTATAAACATATCTTGATTAATACAAATTTGAAGGAAAAAACAATATTGTTTACTCCAGTGAGTAATCTGTATTGATTTGAAGAGCTGACATTTTCATTTCTCTTTTTCCGCCAGGCTTCCAAGGAATCCCAGGGGACTACACTGCGGCCCCGGGCTCTATGGCCATGGGATTCCCTCCAGCCGGTTACACGCCCGCCATGCCCTCGCACCCTGCCGGCCTGCGTCACGGACCTTCTTTACACTCCTACCTCCCAGGGCACCCCCATCACGCCTCCATGATTCTGCCCGCAGGCACCTCCCCTCACCACCTGGTGTCAGCGCAGAGCCCGGCGGACGCACTTCTCAACGGTCAAAACATAGACATTCACGCTCACTAACATTCAGCCAAACCGGGTGTCAGCTTCTCTTCTAACCTTTTCTTCCAGCTTCCAAAAAAAAAACTATTGTCTTTAGAAAAAAGGGATTTGTTTGGTCAGACTTGCTACCCCTTAGACGATTGCAGATTGCTTTTACCGCAGAACAGAGACTGATGGGAAAGCGGGGACATGCAAGGGAAGGAAAACAAACCCCACTCTACCGTCTTCCTAAATATGCCGCAGTGTAAACCGAAGAGCTGACACTCGGTGCAAGGAAACCACTGATTTTTTTTTTTTGTGGGTTTTTAAGTTTTCACGCACACCCTCCCGACCCACAATTCCCTTTCTATGAATGGACCAACACAGGACTCAAGTCTAAAGACAGATGAAGAGCGCAAGATCTTTGAAATCTCGTTTTTCATTTTGTTTGGTTTGAAATGTTTGTTTTTTTTTTACGTCATCACTCGCAGCAGGGACTAAGTTAACTTGTACATTTTTTTAATTAATATTATAATTATTTGAGTTGATAAGTGTATTGTTTTACCTGTTTTTTATGATAAAAGAACTTGAAAAAAATCCACTGTGGATGTATATATATAATTGTATAAATATTTATAGTACCCATAAACTTCAGGGTCTGTAGAGGAATGCCTTCCGTTTTTTTATTTTATGATCTACAATGCTGTCAGTTATCCCACAATCATGTCAGCCAGGCATCTGTTCTCATTAAAGCTCCTTTTACACAGGGGTGATAAAAACAGGTGGTTGATCTCCATTTTTACCACCCACCTGCAAGCGGATATGGTGCAGCAATTTAAATGCTACATGCCATGTTTGACAGGTGGCACCGCCTGTCAAACTCTCCCATGTAAGTGCAAAACACTTGACTTGCAGTTGTGACCTAGTCCCACAATGCACAAAAAAAAGACATCAAATGGTGGCAAGTATTGCCTCCTGAACCCTTGCAAACCTCATTCATTGTATCACCCTCAGGAAAGCAATCCACAGTGGATCACTTTTCAGGGGAATGGTAAACACTCCTGGTCATGTGAAAGGAGCCTAAATGTGTTCACTCAGTCAAACATTTTGCATTCAAAGCGAAACTCCACTCTGAGAAAAGGATAAAGACGCTTCCGGTCAATTCTATACATTGCAAGGATTTTAACAAACTTGCCTGTTGCTGTTCTGTTGAAACTGATGCATTGTTTCCATCTACTTCCTACTTCGTATTTGCTTCCTTCCTCAAAGCAAATTTAATGCCCGGTCATACTGGTGCGATTTCAGGTGCAATTTGCGAATTGAAATCGCATCTAATGAATGTCAATGTCCTAACATGTGGAAGGATTTTAACAAACTTGCCTGTTGCTGTTCTGTTGAAACTGATGTATTGTTTCCAGTTACTTCCTACTTCCTCTTTGCTTCCTTCCTGAAAGCAAATTTAGTGCCTGGTCATACTGGTGCGATTTATTTTATTTATTATTATTATTATTATTATTATTACAGGATTTATATAGAGCCAACAGTTTGTTCAGCGCTTTACAATATAACGGGAGACAATACAGCAACAATGCAGTTCAATACAAGAGGGATAGGAGGGCCCTGCTCCTCGGAGCTTACATTGTCAGTGTCTCAACACATGCGATTTGCTGCAGCGCGATTTCTTGCATGACTTTTTCTGCAGTTTTGTTGCGATTTCACAAACATAGAATATAATGGAAATCGCAGTGCAAATTGCAAGAAATCGTTGAAAATCTTCACAATTAGCAATAAAGTCTTCAGAAATTGTACTTGAAATCGTGCTGAAATTGCACAGATATCGCGTGATTCACAATTTTAAATCGCAGCGGTGTGACCACTGGCTTAGAGATCTGCCTGTTGTAGTTACATGATCAGTGCCAGTAAGGAATCCTTCACACCAGCCTGTATTCTAAAACGATCTGTTTTAGCATGAAGATTATTGTCTGTTCTGCATAGGAGGTGCCTTATGTTTTTACAATGCAAGGCACTATTACCTTTTTTATGTTTCTTTTTTAACTTTATTGAAATGTCACAAAGCTACACTTCACTTCTGTGCACTGCAGTTGAACTCAGATGCAATTCGCTCTGTACCTCTCCACTCCATTGTGGTGTGAATGGAGACATGCATTAATCGGGTACAGGAGAACGCAGGTCACCACACAGTATGTGAACAAGCACTAAAAGAGAAAAGAGGGAATAGCCCTGAGCCCAGGGGCGGACTGACCATTTGGAAACTCGAAACACTGCCCGAGGGCCCAGGGTCAGTAGGGGGCCCCTTGAGATGCCCTGGTACCTTTTTCATGGGCTTTTTTGAGTTTGGGCAAGGACACAGGGGCCCCATGATCCCCTATTGCCCGGGGGCCCCATGATCCCCTATTGCCCGGGGGCCCCATGAGTTGTCAGTCCACCCCTGCCTAAGCCTATAATATGTGCAGGAAAGAAGATTTCTTGGGACGTTCAGTACACAGTTGGGGAGATTTACTAAAACTGGAGCACTCGGAATCTGGTGCAGCTGTGCATGGTAGCCATCCAGCTTCTAACTTCAGCTTGTTCAATTAACACCCTGATTGCACTGGGTGCAATTTTGCATATGACTTGCATGCCATGCAACTTGTAAATCGTACGCCAAGTTGCACCCTATTGTCTGCAGCTACAGCAGTCAAATTGGTGTGGTTCCGACTTGGTCGAGCCGCACTGATTTATAAAGTCGTACATGCACTACTTTTCATGCGATTTGCATTGACATCTGTGTCAGATGTCTTGCAAATCACACCTGAAGTCGGCAGGTCACCTAACTTTGAAATCGTGCGACTTCACTGTAAGTCGCACAATTTCAAAGTCGGGCTTGATGTGACCGGGGTGTTATGCATGGTTCGAATTCCGAATGATTTTTCGTCTGAAAATCAAAAACGTTGTTCGCTCTGTAATCTGATGGTGCCAACAATGATTTAGAAAATCGGCCGACCAAGTCATAAAGTTCACCCCATATAACAGGCGAAACTTCTGTTCCTTCCAGGTCACGGCTCATGCGCATATTCTTTTCAGAAAAGTGATCGTACGATTTGACCATCATTGAGTCGAAAAGTGGTCATTTTTCACAAATTTTCCAACATGCCCGATCACCGAAAAGGGGAGGAACCACGAAAATCGGCCACTGCCATTGACCCACTAACAGAGCGAAAATAGGCCGATTATTCTTAGGTCCGATTTTCGGATGAAAAATTGGTCGAATTTCGACCCACGTATGGCCAGCCTTAGAGTTGACAATAAAACCTGGAAACTGATTGGCTCCTATGCACAGCTGCACCAGATTTTGCACTCACCAGTTTTAGTAAATCTCCTCTAGGGTATACACTCACTGGCCACTTTATTAGGTACACCTTGCTAGTGCCAAGAAAATATCCCCCACACCATTATACCACCACCAGCCTGAACCATTGATTACAAGGCAGGATGGATCCATGCTTTCATGTTGTTTACGCCAAATTCTGACTCTACCATCTGAATGTCACAGCAACCAGTCTGCCCATTCTCTGACATCAACCAGGCATTTTCATCCACACAACTGCCGCTCACTGGATATTTTCTCTTTTTTGGACCATTCTCTGGCACCAACAACCATGTCATGTTCAAAGTCAATTAAATCCCTTTTCTTCCTCATTCTGATGCTCGGTTGCAACTTCAGCAAGTCATCTTCACCACGTCTAGATGTCCAAATGCATTGAGTTGCTGCCATGTGATTGGCTGATTAGCAATTTGCATTAAGTAGGCCATACATGAGTCGAATTCCGAATGATTTTTCGATCGAAAACGTTGTTTGTTCTGTAATTCGATAGTGCCACCGATGATTTAAAAAATCGGTAGTTTTTCACGTATTTTCCAACATGCCCGACAGACGAAATGGGGAGGAAAATGAAAATCATCCGGTGGCACTGCCCCACTAAACGAAAATCGGTCAATTATTCTTAGGTCCGATTTTTGAAGGAAAAATCTTTTGGAAATTGACCCATGTATGACCGGCCTTACCAAGCAATTAAACAGGTGTACCTAATAAAGTGGCCGGTGAGTGTAGATCACCACAAATGGCCATAGTTGCAAAGACGCTAAGTCTTAAAAAAACGTTTACTAAAGGCAAATAGGCTGTGCAGCTGCAGATGCCGTTCCTCAAGTGCATAGAAATGGTGTGAAGCTTCACATGCAAGGAAAATACAAAAAAAAAAAAAGTATTTTTGCTTGCACTTGATTGGATGATGGATTTATTCTAATGATAATCTCTTACTCTACTTATTCTAATATTTCCATCCAAATATTTTTCTGCTGCACTTGTCTGCCTGCTTACTACCGCTATAATAAGGACAGGATAGGAATCCTTATTATTATTATTTATTTTGATTTATTTCAGGTACTTATATAGCGCCATCAATTTACACAGCGCTTTACATATATATTATACATTCACATCAGTCCCTAACCCTCAAGGGGCGTACAATCTAAGGTCCCTAACTCACATTCATACATACACATACTAGGGCCAATGTAGACAGGAGCCAATTCACCTACCAGCATGTCTTTGGAGTGTGGGAGGAAACCAGAATACTTGGAGGAAACCCACACAGGCACAGGGAGAACATGCAAACTCCAGGCAGGTGGTGCCGTGGCTGGGATTATACAGGATTTATATAGCGCCAACAGTTTGCTCAGCGCTTTACAATATAATGGAAGACAATACAGCAACAATACAGTTCAATACAAGAGGGATAGCAGGGCCCTGATCCTGGGAGCTTACAATCTAAGAATCCTTATTTTCAAATAAGTGTCAGTTATTTTCAGTTACGTTCTATGAGATTTGAAAATGACAGTCAGGTGGCAGAAATGAAAGATCCTTATCCTTGTGTAACTGTTTATGAGTTGAGACAATCGTCTTTTAATTGACCGTAAACCTCAGCCAGAGCATATAAAGTTTGATGATCTCTGCTTCAGGCACCTTTTTGGGAACATTGTAC